TTATATTCTTCCAAGTTTCTTCATCTAAGTCAGCTTTCTAGTGTATAAAATCAAACAAATTGCGACTACATCTCATCCTCCTCTTTTTTTAAAGTTGAAGACGTCAGCTAAGTTTTATATCATCTAGATTTTGAAGGACTCGAGTATGATAGATATAGTCTATAAGGGGCGTGACTAATGATAAGTTATACTGAGTTAATCTAAAATTAGACTTGAATTTGGAACTAGACTTAACTTCGTTAAGGCTCTGTCGCCTGCTGCTGGTCGTGAAGACCCCATCGCCCTGGTTAGGGATGGTCGTGAGGACCACATTGCCCTGGTTAGTGTTGGTCGTGAGAACCCCGTCGCCACGGTAGGGTTGGTCGTGAGGACCCCGTGCTCCCGGTTGGAGTGTTACCGTCACCATCTCCCTCTTCCACCGTCATTCCACCGATCTCCGTCACCTTCCCCGCCGTCCCGCCTTCCCACAGTCCCTGTCCGGTGCCACCTGAAGGAATTGCTCCAACTCCGCCGGAAATCTCGTGTCCGGCGAACTCTCTGGCAGAAGCGATTTGGGGATTTTTCTATCTCCAGGTTGTTATTCTCCTTTTGCAAACTTAATCTAGGCCGCACATCACCGGGAGTTATAATGATGGATAAGTATCCATGTGAGACATAGTGCCAGCTCATTCAGCAATCGTTAGACTCACCCTCTCTCCTCTTCCTATTGGGTCTCTATAAATAAGAGACTATGTGTTCGATGAAATGCGCGCTGCATATTTTCAATTCTTGTATTCAATTGAGCATTCTTGATTCTACTTCCAATTTCTTATTTTTTGAGTACTTGAGGTTGTTCCTGGCTTTGCGAAGCCAACACCACCACCCGCCTTCCAGCCACGTCCATCGTCGCCATCTCCTTCTTCTGTCACCATTCCACCATCCAGACACCTACACCGTAGCCGTCTCCATCTGTGTCGCCATCTGCCACCCAACCTTCGCCCTTCGCCGCCGGCGTCCGCCGCCGCCATCCTCTCCGGCTGTTCCACTGCTATCGTTGCCGCCTTCCCCTTTGCCGCCTGCGTGACCCGGGTCGTGCGCCCTCTCACCTCCCTCCGGTTTGCTTTAAAGCCCACCGGTTCGTGATCCAGCGAATCGCCGACCTGAACTGGACCGGCTAAAGTCTGAGCCGACCGCCCCACTGCCTGGTCCGAGCCCAACCGCGTCCGGGTCGGAACCACCTAGGACCCTTGCTCCAGGCCAGCTCATCTCGCTGGTCAGAACCCTGCTGGACCACTTGGTCTGCACCATCCACCCCTCTGGTTCAAATCAGTCTACACGTTCAGCTTGCCAATCAGCAATTAACTATCAACTATCAAAAGGTCAACTTTCACCATCAGGTCAATAGTTAACCTTTACAACTAGTTTCTTTCTAGTGACTTCGTTCCACAATTAGTTCTTTTACATTTTATACCTAGTAATCACCACTCTTTTAATATATTCTTCTTGTGATTGTTCCCATGTTGATTGAATCTTATAGAATAATCACTTTTTCTACATTGAGTGATCATACCCTATGATAAACTTGATCTGCCTTGTTATTTATGAGCACCCTACGTTAGGCAGTTTGCCTAAAGTGTCTAGTCTTAGCCCCACTTCCCTAACTTTAAATTATTTTGAGCCTGATTCAAGTTTCCCCTTCTTCTATTTCTAATAGTTTTTGTGGTTTATTTATCATTTATTTGTTATCTTTACATTCTGATTATCATTTGTATTAAATTGTCTCTTAGGGCTGCTTCTCTACTTTTACTCCAAAATTATATGGAACTTCGTTCATTGGATTAAGTGAGGCTTACACTTTACCCTATTTAGAATTTCATTCTTAAGACTATTTTTATGATTTAAGTTTTTTCTCACAATTTTTTTATCCTTATTGATTTTTTTTCTAGTCATTATCTTGTCCAATAGATACAATACATTGATTCATTTCCTCATCTAATTTACAAGCTAGGTCCTATATTCAAGCCCATCATACAACAAATCTGAATAGAAGTATGAATTAAAAAAATCTCTTAAAAAATAATTGGAAGTGCAAAGTTTTATATTTGGTGCTTTGAATTTTCTTTAAGGTAGACAAGCTTGATGGTTTCAACATCTTTTTTTGCCATTAAATATCAAATAAATTCAGTAACATATTCTGTGAAACGAGGTACTCTAGTGTTTCACGCCAATGTCTTGATTGGATGTTGAAAAATGAAGCCACTTGCCTGCAAGAAGGATAATTATGCAAACTATTGCTAGTATCCTATCTTTTAAATCTTTTGTTTTAACAAGATTAAGGGAGTTATCTCTCATAGTTTCCTCTCCAATTATAGATATATTTTACGATTTAAAAATTAATTCAGAAGCATAGTATACTTTTATGAACCTATGTTCCACAAGTGAGGAAGACCGTCTCTCAATCGTGGGTTATTTCATATAATTTTACAAAAGTAGTTTCTTCAGAATTTAATGAGAGGTAGCCGTCCTTTTCAGTTCTCCATCAACTTTATTAACATCACTGCCTTGTTGTAAGCTACAAGGTCACTAGTTCAAAAATTGGGTTTCTATAATCATGTTTCAACATATTTGCCTAGAATGTTACTACTCTAGTCGACCATGAAACTTGAGTTTAAGCCATAACTATTAATGAATCATATTAGAATGCCCAAGCTTGCTGGTTGTGGTTTGTGGATTTTAATTTGAAGTTTCAAACGTACCTCCAATGTGATATTTAAGCTTGATTACGTCAGCACAGAGACTTGGCATTGAGTTTCAGTCAATTCCGTGAAAATGATCTGAAATCGTTTTTAGAAATTTGAAGGTGCTGGAGATCTCTAACCTTCTCCTGTCAGTAGAAATCAGCAGTCTCGTAGTGGGTAAAATATAGCTTTAAGATTAGCGTTCCAAAATATTCAGATTACCTTTTGTTCTTATCTGCAAGAAGGTGGCACCTGTCATCTGAAGCTTCCTTATATAAAAGAAAATTATGCTGTTACCAAAGCCTTTATTACGGGGTTAATAGACAAAGGTCAGTAAAATAAATGTTTTATTATCCGAATGTATACTTAAAATGATAAAATAATAAACTACTAAGACTTGAGTTAACATCACTACTTTATTGTCTTACCAAAGCCTTTGACCAATCTTGCCGACATCACTACTTTATCCCAAGACCTACAGCGGTGGCTCAGCTGCACGACCACCTGAGTTATGACTCTTGCATACCCTCCACTGACACTCCCGTTTCAGTCCATTAGCCCACAGGTCATGCTTTTCGTCAACTAGCTTTCTAAATATCCTATTTATTAGTTTTTTCCGTTGACTGACTCCTTTAACCTCCATGGCATATTCCCCTTTACTGCCAGACAGATACCCGAACACCAATCACCATTCGTCAACGGTCTTCACAACAAAGAGTAAATGGCAGCGGGATAAGCGGCATCGCAGATTAAGATCTCACGTCTCCGGGGATCATCATCTATACAATTAGCTCTACGGATAAAAAGGGTTGTCTGATGAATTGAGATTTTTGTCTGAAATAATGTCCTTTAAATAATTTGATATCAAACTGTTACGACTTTACCCTTTGACCAATTTTGTCGACATCATGACTTTATCCCGAGATCTACCACGGATTGCATGGCCCAGCTCCACAATCTCCTGAGTTATGATTCTTGAATACCCTCCACTCTGCAATGATGTCCTTTAAATGATATAACCATAAACTACTACGACTTTTGCTCCTAAAGAATTTTTTGTCGAAGTTCTGATTCTTGTATGTTATCATTCTGCAATAGTATGCTTTAATGATATAACCATAAACCACTACGACTTCCCCCTTGACCAATTTTGTCGACATCACTGCCTTATCCCAAGATCAACTACGGCTTTCCCCCTTGACCAATTTTGTCGACATCACTGCCTTATCCCAAGATCAACTACGGCTTTCCCCCTTGACCAACTTTGTCGACATCACTACCTTATCCCAAGATCAACTACGGCTTACATGGCTCAGCTCCAGCCACCAGAGTTATGATTCTTGCATACCCTCGTTCAACTCCATGGGCCCATAGATCAGGCTTTTAGTCAAATAGCTTGCGAAATATCTTATTTATTACTTCTAGCAGTTGACTGACTCCATTAACCTCCATGATATATTCCCGTTGATCTAGTGATCCATAATGCCAGACAGATAACTGAAAATCAATCACCATTCGTCAGTGGTCTTCAGACAAAGCGAAAAAAGCAGCATTCCGTCTGAGATCCATGTCTCCAGGGATCATCATCCGTACAATTAGCTCTGCAGACAGAATGCGCTGTGAGATGAATTGAGATTTTTTTCATTCTCTGAAAGTGGACTTCAAATGATGTAATATCAAACTACTACGACTATTCCCTCGACCAATTCTGTCGACATCATGACGTTGTCCCAAGATCTACCACGGATTGCATGGATTAGCTGCACAACCACCCGAGTTATGATTCTTACATACCCTCCACTCTGCAAATAAAGTGCTTGATATCATCATAAATTACTATGACTTTCCCCCTTTAGGAATTTTTGTCCAAGTTCTGATTCTTGCATACTATCCATTCTGCAACAGTGTGCTTTAAACGATATAACCGCAAACTAGTATGACTTTCTCCCTTGACCAATTTTGTTCGACATCACTGACGTATCCCAATATCAAACACAGCTTGCATGGCTCAGCTCCACACCCACCTGAGTTATGACTATTGCATACCCTCCACGGCACAATCCCTTTCCACTCCATCGGCCCATAGATCAGGCTTTTAGTCAAATAGCTTGCGAAATATTCTATTTATTACTTCTAGCAGTTGACTGACTCCTTTTAACCTCCATGGCATACTCCATTTCCATTCTTCTATGTCGTCACGACCAAAAGTAGATGGCAACTGGACGCACGGCGTCACAGATTATCATCCCTCCAACTAGCTCTATAAATAACAGGGGTTCGGAGATGAAGTCAAACCAGAAGCCGGTATTACAAAATTGGTAGCCGAGCACGTCGGTAGTAGACAAAGGCCTGTGGCCATGGCAGCGAGACAACTTTTCGCCCTCCTTTTCTTAGCGTACTTTCTCTGTCACATCTCGCCCTCTTTTGCTGCGCCCAATGTCCTGTACACTGGCCAAGCTCTCTTCACCAACCAATACCTGCAGTACGGCAACTACATTTTGCTTATGCAGAGCGACTGCAACCTCGTGCTATACGACAACACCACTCCTATCTGGTCCACCCAAACCAGTGGCAAGGGCACCAATTGCGCTGGCCTCCTCCAAGGAGATGGCAACTTTGTCGTATACAACGGCAATCGCCAACCTGTGTGGGCAAGCAATACTGCCGGTCCTAGCGGCAAATACGTCGTCATTCTCCAGCCCGACCGCAACGTCGTCCTCTATGGCCCATCGCGCGCGGAGACCGGAACCGCAATCTAAGGATCCGGACTCGCAGGAGGAGCATCGAAGGATGTCACAACAGTGCCTACGGATGTCAAAAAACCTTGAACAGCTACAGCTTGATGGTTGTCCTTCTCGCCGTCTGTGAACGGAAATCAGACCCCAGAGACGATACTGTACTTTATTTTCAGGAAAGACTCTTCAGCAAAAATTCCATCCATGTTCATCAGTTCAAACCCAAACATGAATGTCGGTTTTTCATACCAATTCTACGGAAATTAAGACGCCGTTCTGCATGGGAAATTACCATAAACCAAAGTCTCAAAATACTCCATCGCACTTGCCTTTTGGGAAGTCGCCTCTAACATGCGTCACGCACCAACCTTCTCATCGCTAGTATGCTCCTTGTAAAATCACATCTCATGCTTCTCGGAAAAAGGTCAAACACCGAATAGGGAACTAGGCTCCACATCGACCATAAGAGAACTAGGCTCTTTGGTTACGGATCATCGCAAGGGAAGAGAAAGAAAGAGGAAGAGAAGGACGATCTCGATCGTAAGAGAAGAAGAAGAAGGGGAAGAGAAGAAAGAACTAAATTCTCTACACAGCCGCGGCTGAAATCAAGCCTACAACGATAAGGAAAATTATCATCCACGAGCGATTATATCGTTTCTTACGGTTGATTGCAAGGGATGAAGAAAGAAAGAAAGAAAGAAAACAGGAGAACGATATTGATCCTCAACGCCTCAATAACTAAGACCAAACCCACAAGAAAAAGAAAAGGAAATCAATCATTCACGATCCCTTCTGTCTACTTCAATCGTTCAAAGAAGGAGAACAACAAATAAGCTCAATGTATAAAAGCAGCATAAGGTGCAATGTATTGCCTCTATAGTAGATGATGTTGATGTAAAAAACTTTGAGGCAAGATGGTCAATGTCATTTGAAGATCAGCAAGAAAAAGGTTAACTAAGTATCGCACTATCTAAAATAGGATGCACAAATTGGTACCGTCCAGGACCATACCACAAATGAGTCATTTTATTCACAGTTTTATTCAAAAATAAATCAAAATAAAATAAGTAAAATTAGGCGTCCCAGATGTGCTATCCAACTAATAAAACAAAAGGTGCTTCGGGCTTTTGGTGCGCTAGGTGTGCTGAGGCGAAGAGGGATTCTGGAAGGGATCCTACCAGCCCAAGAACCACAGCTAGAAAATCAAATACCGCCATGGTAAAATCTAGCTTAATGCAAAGGAAAGCATTATGTGAAAAAAATGGATGTAAGATCACACAAGCAACGAGCGTCGCCGGGAGAGGGGGTTAGAAGGAAAGATGAAACAAGGAAGAAAACAGAGCAGGGACAACCCATTGAAGCTTCCTCAAAGAGCCAACATGGACGCGAAAACCTTCACCAGAAAACTCTGCACTTCATTTCTTCCATGGGCTTTTAATGATTAGGTAATATCTCTTCACAAAGAATTTAAGTAGCACGACTGAAATTATGGCCGAATAGCGGCAACCAGGGGCAACAGAGGAGATAGGTAGTGTAGGGGTGTCAAATGAGTGAAAACCAACAAATTGTCTACCATAAGGTTAAGGAAAATGTCTCACCCGATAGCTACTCCGTTCCAAATAGCTGTGTGTGTGTGTGTGTGTGTGTGTGTGTTCTGACAAGAAATGACAATTGAAACTTGGTCCAGTTAAACATTGTAGACGTGTGATAATAGAATAATAAAGGAGGAGTCTTTCCTCTCTTTCTTTCTAATCTTCTGCCTACTTCGTTGGATTCTCTCTCCTCTCATCTCCCCATCTCCACTGTCCCCCTGGACTGGACAGAGTGAGGGGAATGGAAGGATGGATCTTGATGGACGGCGAAATCGTATAGTTCTTCCTTAAAAAGTTGTTCGTTTCTCCGCCAAAAGGTGCTCTCGTAGGTAGAGCCTTTTCTCTCCCTTCACATTCTCTTCTCTTATCCCTTTCTCTTCGTGATTTCTTCCTCCCCTATTCTCCTCCTTCATGTCCTTCTCTCTTTCTCTCTCCTCCTCTCTATCTCCTTCCCTATTATCTTTATTATCCATGTATTAGGTTAATTCAGACGACGTGAAAAGTTCTTTTGTATTTCTTTTCAATTGGGTTCAAGTGAAGTGTTATGCAATTCGAAAAACTAAGAAACTATGGCATTATCGTCATCTGAAATAGAGTATATTACTATATCAATAACATGATAACAAACAATATGGATGTAAATAACTTTAGAAGATCTTACCACAATCAACACCAACAAAAATTTAATCTAAGGTGCAGCAAGATGCATGGCACAAGTTCCTCAATGAAGTAGCAAGTAACATAGCCATGGTGCCGCAAGAGGTTCAACAGCAACCCAAGGCAGTCTAAGGACTTCTTCCACAAGTGCCTCAATGTAGACACTCTAATGAGGTTGTGAGATTCCAAACTTAGGGGAGGATGTGACATGCCTTGCTTAAGGGAACAAGGTTTCAGGCACAGATCCACAATGTGGGCATGAGTCCAAACAATGGTCCATGCAAGCATGTATGAGACAAAATGACGTGGTCATGCATGGGCAAGTGTCACACATGTAGCGGTGTGCACTAGCACAACATGACACATGCAAGCAATGGAGACATTGCAGAGCCAGAATAAGATTAATGGAAGGCATCCGTGAACTAGGTGAAGCACATGTTGGCACGGCACCATGTAGATGTGCTTGTGTGTGCATGGCTCAAGTTGATAACTCAGAAAACACAAGAGGTATAAGGCAGAGTCCCATAACTTAGAAGCCACTTGCTCTAGATAGTGCAGTAAGGCACAATGCACGTGTGCACAGCTCAAGTGGATAACGTAAGTGTTGGTCCCTGGATGGCCAGATAAATTAAGAGGGGGACTGAATTGATTTAAAATTTTCTATACTTAAATTAATTATTTTTTTCTTTTTTTATATGTATATATTAATATTTCAATTATAGTTTTACATCAATATATAAATGTAAAAAAAATCAAAACGAAATTATGTACATCAAATTTTAGAGTGGTTCAGCCAAACACCTTTCACCTACATTAACTTTCAATACCTCTATCTCAATTCCATTATTCCCCTATCGGAATATACTTTATCTTACAAGGATCAAGAACTCCTTACATCCCCATACCCTACAATCCTGTGACCACCCAACTTAAAACCCTAATCCTAGAATTCTCTAGTTCCTAAGTTTCCTCATTGCAAAGACACCATGTGTGCCTCCTATGTGACTATGTTAACAACACATCACATGTGTCTCAACTAGTCCACATACAGTAAAATCAAAATAAGGAAATAAACAATTTTGAACAAAGTTACTACAACCTTCAAATGTCATTTCATACATCAAAAATAGATCCAAGAGTTGAGAGGTGTTTGACTGAAGGAGGTAGTGCTTGAAACTTAAAATGGTATCCACAACTCTTGAAATGATCAGAATTTACCTTTGAATCACGAAAACATGAGAAGAGTTGACAAAGATGAAGAATGTTTGTTGAAGCACCAACCTGCAAAATATTGTGTATTTTATCATTGCCCTAATTTGGACTAAATGCCTACTTTATAGGGCAAGCTAAATTACCCTCTTTTAACCCTTATCAAATCAAATAGTCATGTTAAAGCAAGTCTTAGCAAAGCATGCACAAAATCTTAAAATACAGAAAAATGACCATAAATATTGAAAAAATTATAAAATACTTCAAAATTGAATGTGTGGTTTTAGTTGTAGCTTCCTCTTTGGATCAACTTTCAATGATTAGTTACATGCCTATATCAATGAGATAGTTTCTAAGATAAAAATTATTTTATTAAGAAGGATCAAATTTCTTAAGTTTTTTCCTCCTACACACATATTAAATTAGTAATCTTATAATATCAACAACAAATGAATATCTTGATCATTTCTTCAAATTTATTGTATTTGACTCTTCAGGCAAATATATTGATTATTCATATGTCTATATAAGTGAAGTCATTTGATACAAATTCAAATACTAAGCCTGAAATATAAAATTACAATAAATTTAACTTATATATACTTTTTATTACCTTTATACCTAAATAATCTAAAAATTATATCCTTAGGAAAAAATTGAAATATAATGAGATATTTTATATGGTGCAAATCATCAATTTAATTCTTACATACCGTATTTCTTTTGTTGAACTCTTTAATCTCATCTTATACATCAATCTCTAGTCAAATTTAGATCTTATACTATCAATTTCACAATTTCAAATTAATGTCTAAAATAACATCAAAATCGTACTAAGTTAATCAATAACTCAGTAATAGGATGAGATTTAAGGGAGAGTCATAAAATCTCTAGAAGTCGTGTGCATGAAATGGTGCAGTGAGCCTTCATGACATGACAGAATTTCACATGATGCCGATTTAACATGACACATGTAAGGTATGAGAGCTATGAGCCTTCATGCACAACTCAAACGAGGGACTTCACCAACATCAGAAAAAGTTTAGAGGACTGTCCTGTGAACCTTGGAGGATGTTGACACAGTGGCGCATGAAGACGAAATGGGCAACGGGTGTGCAAATGTGCATGGCACTGTGCAACTTGCGATGGAATTAGAAGGCTCTCACTTATAAATAGAGGCCTTAAGCCTCATGGAGCAGGCTGGCCTCCGCAAAATCTGAGTATTCTTGTCTGGAGAAGAACACATGCCCCTTGTGAGCCAGATTCACTTCCACTGAGAGAAGGCTGCTTGCTGCGGCTATGGGTGACCGTGGCTGATGTGAGGTGCAGGAAGCAAGGTACGCTGATCCCTCACCTCGTGAAAATTGGTCCCAGTAGCCCAGAGGGAGCTTAGTAGGTGATGGACGAGCAGGCGGGAAGACAGTTGGCCCGGGGTTAGCTAAAAAGGGAGTTTTTCTCTAATCTCGAGGCCAATCATTTACAGTGACACCAGTATCATATTTAAGTAGATGACCCTGAGATTCAGTAACGAGAATCCATTGATCATTTCCGAGTTATTTACATTTA